CATATCTTCGCGTGTATATAAATAATAATCTTGTGCGCTGCGGGCGACAAGAGTATATAAACTGTAAAGTGCCGCGGAATAATAAATAAAAAGTCGTAAGAAATAAACGGACCCGGTAAGGCCAATAACGTCAAATTACCGCCGGTGTTTCCTCTCCCCTCGGCCACGGCCCTACCTCACTTCGCCGCTAAAGAGTGATTGATGTCGTTGGCGGTGGCGCTTAAATAATTTATTAATCGCCCCCGTCGTATCTCTCTCCTTCGGCTGTACTGCTACGATTGAATCCGTCTCCCCTTGCAAAGGCCTCGCTTTATATTATATATACATCTTTACCCCGAACCACCCGCCATGTATAAATACCGTCTACCCGTCCGCGGAATAAATCTCCATTTAAGTAACAAACGTCTGTGAGAGCGATGCTATTATACCGTCCAATTATGCGCAATTATTTGACCGTATACCAAATCCGTATTCCAGCTGGTGTGATAAACCCCGAAAATACCGTTTTACGGCCCGCGGACGAATAAAAAATTCTACCACCTTTTACTCAGTCATATATATATATATATATACATTATATTTAATGAATATAGGTACCGCGGTGGTTCTGCAAAAACCATCAACGATTTAATTAGGACTTAAAATATTGTTTTACGCACCATACATGATCTTTTACTGTTCCGGAAACGCATTTATAGAACGTAACCACGTGATTTTTAAGCGGTTTAAGTTTAGTGATGCAGTCTGGGATGGATCTAGGGGGAGCAAGGTCAAATACTTCTCCAGAACCTAGACACATAATATACCGCCCACGTGCATAAATCCTATGGATATTGTTATAAAGAAATGTATAAACAAATATTTGTGTGGCGTACATTCAATAATGAATCGGCTTCCCTCGCAGTCCAACCATATATTCACCACCATAGGTCTGTCATTGGGTACAGTCGATAAGAATAAATAGCGTAGGTACCTACTTAAAGTTAGTTTTTTCTTATAGGAAACATCAATCGTTGCAAAGTGTTCTCGTGCGAAATTCTTTACTATATGTATATACCTATAATTAATCTATATTTATTAAAAACTGTCAAAAAAAAAAAAAAACTTTAATAAGCAATTTTAGTACCTAAATACAAGCACAAATAATAATATTTATATGCTTTTAGCACTTATGTACAACATTTAGTGTTCGCATAGTGAAAATTAATTCGTTTTTCACAATGCATGTGGAAATTATATTAAGCCGTACTGCACATTATACCTATAGGACATTTTCAAATAACCAACATTGTAATCAATTATTATCATTTCAAATGTTTGCTTGAAAACAACATTGTTTAACATAATATTTAGTAAGGCTGACATGAACTTTATATTATAAAATTGACTATTCTAAAAATATACATAGTTTATAATGTTAGAGTGTTACTGCTTTACAAACATAAGACAATTATTGTTATACACCTAATGCATAAAGCAACAATCGTCACAGTAATAATTTCATTTTCTGGTTCAAAATAACTGAATAAACATTTAATACACAGAAAAAATATTTTTGATAACATTACATATTTTATGTGAAATACTGCAGTGTAATATAACTACGTTTTAGGTGACTATAATATAGTCTATAGGTGCAGCCGTGTAGGCATCTGTATTATTGTCTATATTATTAAAATATTATCGTATACGGTGTATCTTGGCAAAAAAATAATACCCATGTTAAAACCTTTGTTCATATAAAAAGTATGAAATAATAATAATAATGTTGTATGCATTATAGAAATCAAATAAATAAAACCTTATTTTGTACACGATCAAGGAGTTAGATCAGGTAGTCAGAATTGTCATTCGGATTTCATTAAATAGCAATTATTGACTATATTATTATATACGATTCTATGTTACCTGCAGTATTTTGGTTTTAAACTCATAAATTATAATAAATATACAGTGAACTGTGCACGAGACAATATTTTTTTTTCTTTTAACCGTTATGTCCTGGCTATACAGACATCTATTATTTTAACTGTACTGTCGACTGATACATGGGTTGCGGTCATTAATTTATTATTGATCGGTTTTTTTTTACCTGTAACCTGCTGCGTATAACTGAAATAACCCTCGTAATATTGACAAACTCTATTGTTTGGTGTTTATTACACGCAAAGTTCTAGGGTAATAGTATATGTATAAGAAATATTTAAATTTAACATATTTCTATTTATATATTTTTTACATTTTAAATTGAAATAATCTTTTTTTCATTTTAAACGTTACATATTATGTATATGATAATAATCGGCGTAGTCCTATAAAATATAAAATATGTTTACTGAAATATTATCAAATGTTTGTAAATAATATACATATAGGTATTTTAAATGTGCTTACAATTTATTATTCACGTATATACATTAAAATATAATACACCCAACAATTATCTAGTTTTCATTTTATGTTTAATAAATTTCAATTCAGGTAGACGAAAATTATTGTATTCTCAATGGAATGATACAAGACATTCCTTACATCTTTTACATTCATTCCATCTTTTTAGTTGTGACTATTAAAAAATTTGAAACTTGATACCTAATTATAAAAAAATATATCGTATAGTATGTATAAGCGGTACATCGTTATCTCAGAAAACATATTATATAGTGTAAGATATGCATGTATTTCAATTACGATTTACGAGATTAAATAAAAATTCAAATCAATAAAAGAAAAATAAGCTATTCTGCATGCACTATATACTCTATACTGTACAAAAGTTTTAAACCAAAAATCTAAATCTTCATTAATTTCTAAAATCCTTACAGTACTTATAATATATAATGATTATTATTATTATTATCATTATTGTTATTACTACCTGAAGTTATATATAAGCTATCATTTCACGCCATTATTATTATTATTTCTGATATTCCATTAAAAGTTGGCGTTTTAATGTTGTTATGTTATTTTTTACAAATTCATACCCATATTATGAATCATTTGGGTCGTCTAAAACTGGTCCAATTTGCAAATAGACATAATCATGATATGCTCGTGTCTGAACACATATTTTTGTAATTGAGAAATTGATGATAATATTATTATGATGGAAAACTATAAAAACACGATGCAGGTGCGTTTGATATTACACACACACACACACACACACACACACACACACACACACACACTCGCATATTATATACATAGGTACTAATTGACGCAATTACATTAATTACTTAGGATTTTTTAATTTTGTACGTTTTCCCTCCTCGTTCAGTATAATAATGTTTATACGTATATATATATATATATATATAATATTATTATAAGTGGACGCAAAAGTTTTTTTCGTTTTTATTTTACCTCGCCAAAGTAATAACGACGCGCAACTGCTGTGTCAAAACAGTGCATCGCACGTATATATCATAATACCCACGCATATAATAACGTCATATATACATGTATACATATATAGATATAGTATTACGGCCGGCGGGCTGTGGTAATTATTTTGCGTATGCGACCGTCTGTCAAGTACTAACCGAATTTCGAAAAGCGAAGTCTCCCTCGTCCCCGGCCCCGTGCGCGTAACGAGTGCGCGCGTAATGCAACACACGTGCGAGTGATTATCACATCTCCGAAGCTCGACGTTCCAAGTGGGAAAATGACACGTGACGCGAATCCAGCCGCCGCCTCCATATTATGTGCATATATATATATATATGTACGTAGAAACTACCACTATAACACCGAAACCCCTTTTCGTGTCACCGTACGTTTGATTTATGCACAATTTAGCCGAGTACGATAAATATATATATATATGCACCTATTATAAATATATGTAGTTGTAAAACTTTTGCGGTCTTTGTGTTTTAAACGTAAATAATATAATGCGTAAACAACTTCTATATTACGATATTGTTGTACGGCGTGGGCATCATCCGCACGCGGCTTCTTTGCGTCCAAACAGAATATTACGGTTGCAGGCGTAGGTGTGTACCTACCTCTGTGCAGGTTTATTTTTTGAGATTAAATGCCGCAACGTTTTACCCGCCACAGGTGAATGATATCGAAATACACCAATCAGTCGACAACAACGACGGAAAAAGAAAAAAACGATAAACTTGTGCGGTCGTTACGAGTTTAAAAACTCGAATTAAATAATCTTCGCTTGCGATTATACCGCGGTTGTATTTAAACGCCCGTAATTACAAATTTTTTTTTCTTATTTACCGAAATAAGCATTGAATATTTAAGATTTTTACAAACGCGTTTCTGCGATAACAACACGAATGAACCGTATATAGATTTATGTCAATGTCTACTTATATACCAACGAGTGGCATTTAATAACATGCAGCTATAAGTATAATGTCATTCTATACTATATTCGAGTATCTATTTTAGATTAATAGATTATTTTTTTAACACAAAATGAAAACATTTGTTAAGTCATTAATTTCTGTGTAATAACATGTATATATTTTATGGTAAAGAGAACACCATTACTTATTGTAAACTCGTTTTATAACATATAAAATACATACACAATATTGTACATAACATTCTCATAAGATATTTTCCAAAATGGTTTACTTAATATTTTGATGTACAAATTACCGTTGTACTTAATATATTAATGACAACTATTTAATGATTATAAATTATTTTGAAGTGGATGTTTATATACCTAATATAAATTGTGTGGTTAACTGTTAAAAATAACAACATATCAAGCAAATCATACTCAAAAAAATGAATAATTCAAAAACAGAACATAATAAAACATATTAATGACAGCATGTTGAAAATATCTCAATCATTAGTTTGTGTTTTTGAAGGTCCCGCATAATATGTAAAATATGTTCATGTATCTATTATATGTAAATCACATAATTAAAAAAATATATTTATGTATACAAAGATTTTAGGTTTTTATAAATCTCATCCTAGTATTTCTACAAATCTAACCATAGTTTTCGTATTTTCAGAGCCGGATCCTAGAGGATGCGTCCTCGTTCATGTGCAACACCTGGTCTCCACGACACAATGTACGTTTTCTTTATAACAGCTTTATGTACTATATCTTAATTTCTTAGAAATTATTCATGAAACCGCTTCGATAATCGTACTAAATATTAAATATGTAGACTGTTTAGATAACATCATGTGTAGCATTTAGCGTTTACCTCTATCATATTACTTCTTATATAGGTAGATAGACGTTGAAAGGTAAACGTGTATAAGAAATGTGTAGGTACCTTTTACCGAATCAAAAAATCAATTTCTCAATACAATAAATTCAAATTGTATTTTGTAATTACAGTTTTATTAAATACCTATCAACCTACCTACATCAGTTTGTCAAGAATCGTTAGATGAGGTTTATTCTTTCAGTTGTCAAGAAAGGCGAGTTTTATATAATCGACTTAGCACTTGTTGAGAAAGTTTTTCCTTATTTTTGTTAAAAGCGGTCCTAAACGTTGCAGACAGTATTGTATTAAAGTGAACATTAATAAGAACCGTATTTTTTCTTTCTTCGCTCAGTCGAGGGTGTCTTTTTTTCTTTATTTTTTTTTTAACATTTTTATTTTATTTTTTTAAATTCTCTCATTCTTGCTGCAAAGACGAAACAATTTAGCCGACACATTAAAAAAAAGTCCCTCGAGTGAGAACAAAACTCCCGAGAGTAAAAACGAGGGAGGACGAAGACTATAAACTAAAAATCATCAACGAAATGCAAGGCTTTTTGGTTTTCGTCGTTGCAAAGTGGCTTCGGGAACAGGAATTAAAAGGACTTTATTCGGTGGACCGAGCGACGGCCGGGGTAGAGAACACACAAGCGGCCTTAAAACCGTCCCGTTCGCGGCTCCGGTAAATAATAAATGAGCCCCCGGTCGTATCCACCCCCTCTATTCTGAACATCTACTAACTATGCCGGATACGTGAGGCAGAATTTCGCCGATGCCTTAATACCAAGAGAAAACGTTTCGGAAAGCTCCTCTATATATTGAGCACACCGGAGATAATGTCTAAATAGCACTATATACGATTCACATTCGTTAGTCCGATTACACAAGGACGGATTCATAAATCTCCTCTTGGGATTTCTTTGCGTTGAAGTATTGAACTCAACTGAGCACTGACTACTATGCGCCAACAACATATATGCATATAAGCACGTTTACAAACTACAAACACACAGAACCAATTAATTAATTAAAATGTCTACACCCATATTGATTGAAAAGTTCTTAAAAATATTAAAACTAGAATAAAGAGCGAACCTATTATTCTAAAATAGTAAATAGCAATATAATTTTATACATCTAAATTTATACCTTAATACGGACAGTATGTGTACCTACTTAAAAAATAAAATTATAAATTATACTTTATATTTATTTGTAATTCCATACATCGATGAAACTATTATAAAACCTAAAGAATATATATAAACTATATATTTTAGTGTTCACTGAAATGCTATACAAATACGAAAGTTCTACAGTAAAAAAAAAACCGTCCAAATTAAATTAAACACATTTTTGTTTGTATGAATTAATTATACATGATCAAATCGTTAAAAATGTAATGCTGTTTGATGTTTGATTTCAATATCAATATGCACTATTAATAATCATATAATTGGACGTTATAAAAAGAAAACTATTAATATGAGTTATAACTATCATTCTATTATTCTCACTATCAGCAAAATTCATCAGAAATAAATATACACATTTACCAAGTATGCTGTGGAGAAATAATTAAATATTATAAAACAGCATAGTATATTTTACAGTAATCAACGTTTCATATATACCTATAATTCTCTGATAAAATATTTCCACGAGTAAAAGTAATTTCAATAATAAAATTACACCACAAGTGGTGACTATTGCACATCTATACAAAATCGAGGTGATGATATATGTGTAGTTGTTTATAAACCACTTTTCTTTAAGACCGATCGCTGAGGTAAAAAAAGTACGATCCAGTAAATCATAAATATTTCATGAATAGCGCTCGTCGCCACGCTTTTACCCTACACAACTCAACTTTGCCACACATTCGAGTCCGATCGATGCCGATTGACGGTTTATTATACATTTGTACGTATTATACATATACCTATGTTACAAAGTTACCCAAAAAGTATTTGAAATAAAACCATTTCCATCAATTTTAGACGTTAGACGTTGGTATTAAAATCAAAACAATACATACCTTAGCGAAAATTAATAACACAGTGCACCCGTCAGATCAAAATCAGAAGCCCTTAATATTGTGAAGGTGTGTTGCAATTATGTAATAATTTATAATAATTTTACCATTGTTCCAATGGTATCCAGAAGGTCGTTGCGGTTTACCTCGTATATAAGTTACGATTTATGGTAACATATAATTTTCTCGTTATGCGCTCAGTTTGCAAGGGGACCATCTCGTGATGTAATCGGTGCGGGGTCGAAGAGGCGAATATTAATAAACACCTGACATCCCAACTGGCAACAGCAAGGGTTATTCCAAAATATTTATCGCCTCGGTCAGTATACAAGAACTTACTCATCATTAAAGTAAATTTAATATATTCCAACTTTGAATCAACAATATTTTTTTTCTTTAAAACCTATCGTATCAATGATGATGATTTTTTAAAAATAATTTGGATGAACAATTTGAACATGAACTGTTGTAGGTACATGTACACATTTTACACATATTATTTTAACAGAATGAGATGTTATTAGTTGTACAGGTACCATTATATTTTTATTTTTTGTTATTGAAATAAACATTTAGAGGAAATGGAGGGAATGGTTCTAGATCTTATGTCGACCGTTCCATTATTAAAAAATTTAGATTTATTATGAAATGTGATAATTTTACGAACTACCATCACGATAATATGAAAAATTTCTTTGTTTTTGATTACTTATAATTTTTGGATTTAAGACATTAGAATATATAAACGCTGATATATCCAAATTGTAACTCATGTTGTCGACTGACGATTTTTTTATTGAAATTTAAAAACATTATGGTAAGAAGTAAACCTTTAACAACTTATATAAACCTTTTCTGAATTGATATATCTCTAATAATTATACCACATAAGCTTTCACCAAGGATAGAAAAGCAAGGAAATTGCACAGAATCTAGAAAATATTATCAAATGTTCATAGGTACTTATTTTACTTATTTAAGGTTTATACATTTTAATATTATTAATTGATTTTATAATAATATAATATGTATGAAAAATGTAATTTCATAATTATCAATATTTATCATATTTATTACTGATTTTAATATGCAACATATAATATAACATTAAATAAAATATAAATCCAATAGTTAATTATGTTAATGTGGTATATATACTTATCATATAATAGATTATATGTAGAACTGAGAAAGTTAATGTATCTAAACTTATTTGTCAAGTGTGTATTTTTTTGCATTTTATATTTCATATTTTTCGGAGGTCTTGTGCATTTTTACTGTTTTTACATTATGGTTGTACAAAATCCACAAACTTTATCACAATGTAGAGAGGTTTTTTTGCCATGTCAAGACCTTTTTAAAAGCTTTTTACAGCTTTGTAAGTCTTCTAAATTAAACACTACTAACGTAAAATAAAACAAATGTAGGAAAATTCGTTTATTTTTATCTGTTATCTTAAATGATGAAACACACATATTTTATGACGGAGTACGATCTTTTATTTTTGGTATGAACATACATGCAAAAACTGTACCAATAGCACTTACAACAGTGAAAATCAATAGAAAAATGTCCACTCCGCAAGACATGTATAACATATATCTTATATTGTTGATAAATGGTTGATTGATAATTAGATTCAAAAAAGCGTATAGGCTTACAGTGACGCCAGATGTCCACAATTTCGACTAAAAATTAATAGTTAAATAAAACTAAATTAAAAATCATTGTGATATTTTTTCTTATTGATAAATTTATTTATTTTTATGACACGAGTATATCAAATTGATTTGATAAATACCTATGGTAATTAATTTATTATAAGCTGAGAAACTAATGATTATTTTAAAATATGTTATATTATTTAATTTAAATGTATTGAAAATGGTCTAAAAACAAAACTACATAGGTATAATATATACAAAAATCTAAATTTGAAACTTACTTTTCTTGGGCAAATTTGTGGCATTAAAATCCACGGAATTGGACCATATCCGATCGAATAAAAAATAATATACATAACGATTAAATAAGGTAACCATAATCCATCTAAACTTTTCATATAATATAATGTGGCAATCGCCAAAGTTAAAGTGATTGTCATTCCAAGTCCTGAGATGATTAATACATTTTTCTTTCCCAAAAAACTTACAATTATTAAACAAAAAATTGATGAAATGAGCTGAAACAAATTAATATTATAATATGAAGAAAGAATTTAAAGTCAATGCTTGGAAAAAGATAATAAATTATAAAACATTTTAAATACTTCGCGACGTGTACTTTTTAGTACCATACTTATATAATAGGTTAGGACAGAATACTATAAATTTACGATAATATGCAAAAAATTTATATTATTTGAAATATTATCATAGTAAATTATTAAATTAAAATACATTATTTTTTCTTGTATGTGAACATATCACGTCCCCCAAAAGCCCGAGTTAACAGACAGCCATGCTGCAATCGATATAAGTGTCCTAATAACACAGAGAAGCGCCTAGGGAGCTCCTATTGAAACTCCGTAAAACTTCTTGTATGAACTCCTAATCAGGATTAAGATGTCTTTGAAAGGCCCAGAGACTCATAGTCTGCTGCTCTATTAGTTAGGGTGTAGCTCGATCGGCAAAGTCTCCAGCCGGCAATTGAGCAATAAATAAAATGTCTGAAAGTTTCTACCAACCAATAGGGAAATAAGTATAATAAGCTTGACGTTCGGTTATAAACCTTCGTCTCTATTTACCTATCCACAAAATATACTAAAGTTGCCCATTTTATTGAACTATAATGTATGATAATGAACGGTAACAATATGCCAATACTTGGAATCCAGTTATAGTTGATATCATTTCACTCAACGGTAGTTTTCCTCCGTACGCACATTGTAATTTATCCATCAATGAAATGTTACCTCTAAATTGTTGGATACATATTAAACAGATGTTAATCAACAGCGGTCGATAATATTGTTTTTTAGTGAAAATCGAAGACAGATCTATTATTTTGTCGATGTCACGGTTTCTCAAAAGCTGAAACGATACCCATCACAATAATCCACAGACCATAATTATTATTATGCTTTTGCAGTTGTTTACCTTGTGACAACTATTGCTCGATACATCAATAGATTTACAATCCGATTCGCTCTTTCGTAAGTTTTCATAAAATATCAATTGAAAACAAGGTGGGTCTTCGATAAAGCATAATGCTATCAAGTTTGAAATTGTCATACATACAATTATTCCAATATTCACATGTGAATACGTGCAATAATCATCGGCAAAGTGTGACAACATCATACCACTTAACAAGAATACAGGATGCAAACCAGTTAACACGTCTAAATACAACAATAAGCATTGTTAGAAATAATGTTAGTAATTAGAATTAATTTGTTTAGTATACAAATTGTTTAAAAATAAAATTCATTTATACGAAAACTATTATTATAATTCTTAGGCCGTAGTTTCACTTAGATAATTTATTTTCAACTATAAAAAACTTTATTCAAATTATTTTATCAGAAGTCGATAAACCACATATTATATTTATTTATTTAGCATATGCAGAGCTTATGCTTGCCGTTATCAGTTATTCAATCCAGTATATAATATACATATGTATATAATTTTTAAAACATTTCAGTGTATCAATAAAAGCCTAATTTTTTTTTCCATTTTAACGTGTATTTAATATTCATTTACATTCATAAATTGATTGAAACAGTATGGGCGCTCACATTAATAGCTAGGACAAAATAAAGCAAAAAAAAAAGTATAAGACAGAATCTGTTTAAAAACTTTAAATATACCTTCCTGCGGGAGTGCTGCAGGTTGAATCGCGGAAATATTTCAAAGCGTTTTCCGAAGTGGTCCTTTGAGCCGTAGATATTTAAAATGTAAAGCGCGATAATATGAAATGTAGACTTCATAAAACACATTATACTGTGACTTATTATAATTAATATTATTAACGTTCCGACCTCTGTACTTGGGCTCGGTGATTTCTGCTGCGTAATTGGGCACGACGACGCACACGATTCCAGCACCCATGCCGTGTAGGATTCGACCGGTAATCAGTGTAGACAATGCGCCGGTCGAACACATGAGCACAATAATTGACCCGCAGAGGGTGAACAACATCCCGATGATTAGCACCTCTCTGAGTTTTGTCTGCATCGACGCAATAAGCGCCGCCGGCCCGGCGCTAATGATTGCCCCTCCGTATATGAGAGTTTTCGACATATTTTCCGATGTACTCCAATCGTTTTCCGTTTCCCCGTCGTCGTTACGCCACTCCAAACACATGCCGACCGTCAGAGAACACTGGGACACTTAAACATATGCAATCAAAAAAACCTTATAATTCTCGATTTTCATATCCTTTGAGCACACAACTCACCTATGTAACATAGGTGTACATCATGATATCAATAGACAAACAAAATCTTAAAACCACTTAGACACAGCTATTAAATACTAATAAATATAAAGTATTCATTTATTTTGCTATTCTCAATAATACAATATGATATATAGTAGGCATAGTACTTACCCATATACGATACACATAATACATGTAATACTCAATAAAGTCAATTCACAAAATACCCCAATTGACACTTTTAATATAATCGAAAAAAATAAGCAACAGGCATATTTACTGTAAAATACTAGAGTAAACAACATTTTAATGAATATTTTGTATTAACCAACACACCTAACCAAAATAAATGTCTTGGACGCGCATCGGTATGTTGTAGTTTTTAAAAATAAGTTTATAGAATATGATAAATATTTAATTATTATTATAATTCGTTTTGATAATGATGGAGGTTTTTGAACCATAAAGTACGATTACTCTCTGCAAACGTGATACTGAAAGAGAAGGTATAATTATATTTATAATTACTTTGGCCAATCTAAAGGGGATATGGGTTCGGTAGTGAACTACACATGAAATGCAATTTATCACAAAATACTTTATACAATAATACTTATACTAATACTCCTCACCTAAAATTGTATAAATAATCTGGCGTAATACGCTCTCTTGTATAACAATGCTTTTTGACATAATTGTTTTGGTAAAAACTAATACTCATGCAATGAAATCTAAACTAATGTTTTTCACAAATCAAAATCATGAAAAATTAAAGATAAATATAAAAAATAAACTAAATAATAACAGTTATTAAATCTGAATTATCATTAACCAGAAATGTTTTTTTTTCCATCGCATTATAATATATAAATAATAAATAAATAGGTATTTAATGTTCTAATAAGCCAAATACTTTTTTTAATAGGTATAGGTAATTAATTATTTTCAAATTCTTACCTACAATTAAATACACGTTGATAAGACTATTAAAAATGTATATAGGATGGGGGGCCTCTTTTACGGAACCTTTTCAAAAATAAATGTTTTCTACAAGGTACTTTACGAAACTTCATAAGTTTATTTTTATTTTTTATTTAATTTTTCTAAGCATATAAGGAAATACTATTGGCAAACAAAAAAAGATTTTATTTATCCCAAGCGTATTTTTTAAGAAAATCAATTTTGATTTTTTCGCCTTAACTTAATCACGAAATTAATGTTTTTCGAAAATCTATTCAATATACTCGTACTTTATTTGTAAGATAATTTAAATGTTAAGATAGCAGATACAATCTATGAACATATATAATAAACCACTTTAATCAAAATAATTTTTCATGTATGGGATTATTGCTTCAAAATGCATAATAATACATCATCAATGTTCTATGTCGGAATGTATGAAACTAAATAATGCTCAGAAGGTACTTGACCTTAAGTAAAGGGTTTATTATTTACCTATGTACATGTTATCTTTTAGACGTACATATATTTCATACTTTTGTATACATTATTATAATTAAAATCAATCCATCTTTCATAGTAGTTATTCGTGTTATTTTTTATAATGCTTTTTCATACTTTTCAATGACCATATAAAATAACGGGAGAGTAACGGGATAGCTCATAAATAATTGACGACTCGTCTCTAAAGTCCAGCGCACTTGTCGCACACCCCGAAAAAAAACCCCCCACTAAGTAAACTCTATATACTCGTCGACGTCTTCTGTAAACGTCATACTTCTTATCTTGGGCGTCATAAGTCCACTATGATTTTCTCTTGACGAAAACCTTTTGCACGCAGTTCAGCATTTATTCCACGCATATAGTGAGAAAACGTAGCCGCTTAAGACTATATAAGGATAGAGATTCTTCATTAATATTCAAGTATGGCAAGTTGTTGACTGACTTCTCCGCATGTTGTGCGTCAAAGAAAACGTTGCTCAAATTATTCTCTCTATTCATTAAAAGTGAATTGAATTCCTTAAAGTTAAACAAAAATAACCATTGTAACACGTAAAGTTAATTTTTTTAAATATTTTTTTTCCACAGGGTGACTTATTTGGTGGTCTTAATGACGGTCTACTCAGTAGAGCTGAAGTGCTTGCTGCTGTGGACATGGGAAAGCACCACCATCATCACAATCATCAATCGCCGGGATCTGGTAATGGCAACGGTGGAGGCCAAGGCAATGGATCATTGGGGCCTGGATCCACTGGATCGCCTGGACCGCTCTCTCAGCTCAAGCACGACGTTATGTCGTCATACCACCACCATCACGGGATGTCTGGTGGACACTCAGGTAGCCAATCAAACCATCGAGGTCACCAGGTAAATACATTTATAAACTAGTTAAAACTAAGCTTAAGCAGTGGAGCGCTCAGCTTTTTTGAAAGGAAGGATATGCATTTTTGACTATTCTCAGACCGCGTTGTACATACACATTCATTGCTTTATCATATATTTTATACGGCACAAATAAGCCGAAAGGGAGGATATGACACCCTCATCCCCCCCCCCCCCCCCCCCCCCCCCCCCCCC